GAAGGGATGCGGGGCCAAAGGTCCAAAACGGGGGGGGGGGGGTTCTTACTCCTCCACCCAACCTCTTCTTCCAGTGGCTCAGCCAAGCAAGCAGTGCAACTACCCGTGGTCCCGGAACACTGAAGGCACACAAGGGTGGCAGCGTAAGCCCCAAACCAACCCGCATGGCACCAGCAAGCGCTACTCTGAAGCAAGCCCTCCAGGGAATGCAAGGGAGCAGGAAGCCCAGAAGCTCTTCCCAAGGCAAAGCCTGGCCCTGGTTTGGCCCCATGGCTGCCAGAGACTGGAAAGAAAGGAAATCAGCAGCAGGCCCGGGGAAGTGGGTACGAGCCTGGACCCTGCGGCTGGAGACTGGAAACAGTTTGCCCCAAAGTCCTCCCTACTCTGGATCAGGGAAGAAGGTGGTGACTGGGGCCAAGGTCGAGGCAAAGCACCAGGGACAGAGGAAAGCCAGCAGCAAACAACAGCTATCCCGGAGGTTTCTTCTGTCTGGGAGCGCCACCTGCTGCCTGCCGTCAGGGGACCCAAGGCGAGCGCCGCCTCTCCACATCCCAGCGGCAAATGCTCAATCGAAGCATCCTTGACTTTGTTTTGTTCCAGTTTCTTTTAATCCCCAGGCAACTGCACACTGAACCGAGCCACCCTACATGTTTCATCAACGCCGTGCGTGTAGCCAGGCTGTGACAAGGAACTCATGTGAACCACTACGCTGCTGTTACTGCTACTACCCTCCTACTTCACGCTCTGGCTTGGGATTTTTGGCAGTGTCAAGAGCTCAGAAACTGAGAAAAGGACTGGGAATATTTTGCTATTGAGCAAAGAGTGTCAGGAGAACAGTGTGCATATTTTACAGATTTATGCCATGGTCAAGGAGGAAAAAAAAAGTAAAAGGGAGGGTAGATTTGCACCTTTCAGACTATCCAAAGTCGATTTTATCAGAGCGTCTGAGTTCAAGGGCACCCTAGAACCACTCTGGTAGGTGCAGGAGAACAGGAGACCCAGCGGTGCTTTTCACTGGTGTTAAATCGCCTGCTGCTCTCAAGCTCCCTCTTCGCAAGGTGCTCTTCCCTCTAACCAAAATACTTCATTCTACTTGTAAGGACTCAACTGCATTGTCCCAACACCACATGCCCCATCACATTGGTCAGCTGCTTCCAGTTGTAAGAATCTCTACGACTAGCTTTCACTATGGGAACGAAAAGAGTCACTAAGGCGGCCTTGATAATATCAACATAAGCCTGCTGGAACACAGCCTGGCACCCACATAGTCGGAAAAGCACTGTGTCCAAAAGACCTCAGCCATCACCAGCCACCCACCCAGGTGTTAATCAGGCTTTTCATTTACTGAGGAGAAGCGTGACACCATGTGATGTAGATTCCAAAGCAGCACAAGATAAAAGGCTAAAAACAGGAAAAACTGGAATGGTTTTGCTCAGAGCAAGGTGGTTTCCTGATCAAGAGGGAGAGATGGTGGTAGTGTTTCAGCAGTGGTAGTGGGTGCAGCTAGAGGCATGCAAAGTATTCAGAAGACAAACATGCAGCTACAGTCTACATAAGCACTTCTCCTGCCCCCCACACCTTTCAGCAGTGACTTACCTGGGACATCCTGGGGGGCACCGATTAAGCCAGCACTCTTGATTGCTTCACAGTCCTGCTTCTCCTCTTTGCACTTCTCATCACTTTTCTTCTCTTTTCTCTCTTTCTCTTTGTGCTTTTTGGATTTTTTCTTGCTTTTCACGTGCAAGGAGCTAGAGGGGAGTTTGCTGGTTTGGGCACAGTCTGTTGACAAAAGATTCGTCAGTCTGTCAGCTGCCTCAGGGTTCTCACAGTCTCTGCCGTTGTGACTCAGGTCATTGCTGACATCCGAAAGGGGGTCGTGAGGCCGTGGCAGCTCCAACACGGGCAAGTGGGAGCTGGAGCCAGTGGAATCAGCTGCAGCTGATGGCATGGCTGGAGCAGGCGCCTCTTTCCCATTGGAGTTGAGTTTCCCATTGAAAGTGGGCTGAGTTCTGTGGGCCAGGTGTGATATCCTTGACTTCTTGCTAGCTGGTGGATCGATGAACTCCAGGGGCTGGGAGCGTTTCTGAAGACAGAGAAGAACGTTTTGTTTTTGGAGTCTAACAAGAAATCATTTCAGTCCTGGGCATTCAAGGCTCAGCTGCCACGAGGTGGCGCTGCTGCATCAACAACCACACACGTCACTGCAAAGGAAACACAAACACAGCACCCTAGCCAGTCCTTTGCTAACCCCCAGAGACCTCTTAGCCACAGGCCTGCTGTGCAACGAAGCCACCAACCTGTAACCTCTTCTAGTCACTGGAAGCACTTCCCTCAGATGCTGCCTTTGCAACACACCTAGGTGGGAGCCGGGTAAAGGTAGCAGCACCTGCTCAGGAGCCAAGGATATCACTCCCAAATGAGGACAGCTTCCTGCTGCCTTTGGTCACCTGCCGAAGACTCGTAGCTCAGTTGCTTCCCCTTTAAACTGACAATAAAGTTTAAAGGGGAAGAGAAAATCCCCCCCGCCTTGGAAATTAATGATGGGGGCAGCATTATCACAGCCAAACACCACAAGTGCCAACAGCTCAAGTAAAAGACTGAATGCTGCTATGTGCAGGCTGCCATGATCTTTGCTCCCCTCGTGTCTGAGAGCAGGGAGAGGGCAGAGGCTCTGCCCTCGCCAGTTGGGACAGTGACAGATGTGCTGCTCTGGGGAAGGGCTCTGATCTTTGGGGATAAAGCCACAGCTGATGGAGATGGCAGCTGTGCTCTCATCTGCATCGTCTACTTGGTGGCTGTTGCTGGGTTACAGGTCAGCAGTGGAGGGAGAGTTGGGTCAAAGCCAAAAGCTGCAAACGCCGAGCTGACTGCAAGTGGAGAGGCAGCCAGATTATCTGGGGAAGGCCTCAGCACTGCAGCACCCACCCGCACGGCTGCACAAGCCTGAAGCAGGTGATTCACTATCCAGTGGAACACAAGGCATAGTTCTGACTGGTTTCTTTTGGATACTTCTTTCCTTGCTGTCTCAGATTGGACTGCTGTGTTTGCACATGCAATTTGATCCCCCACAGGAAAGTGAGTTTGGAACTGCGATGCCAGTCTGGAGATGGACATCCTTTTTTCTTTAGTTACTCCCAAGGGGACATTGCCTGGTGACAGAAGGTCCCTCTTTCCAAACAGGCACCAGTCAGAAAGGCTGCGGAGAGGAAATGTTTACTCTGCCAGGTACTGGTGGGGCAACAGCACTTCCTGACTGCTTTCAGTAACACAAACACAAGTGGCAGGACCCTGTGGGTGGGAGAGGGCTGAGGTCCTTGCATCTCAGCAAGGGCTGCATGCTTTGGGGCCTGCAAATCCTGATGGATGTAAGAAGCAGAACAAATGAAGAGCTGCTAAGTTCAACCTTACCTCAAGGCCAGCAGAGCCTTCCTCCCCTTACATGCCATGGGCCAAATACATGCACAGGTCTTCTAAAAAAGTTCAGTATGAAACTAAAGCATAGGACAAGACACTTCACTGCTCAGTGCAAAATGTGGCAGCCAAGTAACTGAGCCTCAGACAACCTACCCACAATCCCAGATCTAAATCACTGGAAAAAGCCACTGCCTTAAGAGACACTACAGCTAAATCATACATGGACCAGCACATGGCAGCAAGAGAAAAATAAAGGTGGGCTGTGGCTTGCCTGCTAATCCCTCACTAGTCGCACTGGAACCATTCTGGGTTACGTATTTGCCTGGAGCACATTAGTACCATGGAGAGTAGTACAAGCCACTGTCCACTGATAGGCTGCAATAAATAATTTATTATTCAACAGCCCTGTGTTCAGATGCTAGTCAGTCAGATGTTACTGGCCAATAACTCCTACATATTTCACTTCCTTTTCTTTCCTAATAGATGAAACCGAGAGACAGACCACTGGAGAATGCCAGGTTTTGTATTCAGATTCTTTAAAAAAAAAAAAAAAAAGTCCTGAGTAGAGTTTAATGAATTGACAAGTAGAAGAACTTCAACATCCTCCCACCTTGCTCAGTGAAAAGAATTACTCTCTAGGTACCAGGCAGGCAGCCAAAGAGCAGCAGGTGGGGACTGAGCTTGCTTCCTGGTAAACTTTGGGTTGCATGGTTGATTCCTGGGCTTGATGGAGCAGTGCTTCGCCTCCCAGAAAGCATTTTGTTTCCTTACCTGCTAACAGTCACTGCTACTGATTCTCAGCATGGCTGTCCAGGCAAAGCAGGCCTTACGTATTACACTGGCAGGAGGATGATAAATACCTAGCTTCCCTGGACTACCCTGCAGGGTGCAGAGGTGGTATGCATTTCACTGCTCAACCAAAGCACTGAGGCCAGAACAGATCAAAGGCTGGTTGAGGGATGCCCTAGCAGATGAGCCTTTTGGTTGGTTATCACAGAACACAGCTTATACCTGTTCAGACCACTAGTATAGGAATGGGATGGCACCTGCTTTTTGAGGTAAAAGCAAGGAGGTGACAGCTAAGTTAAGGTGCTCGCCTCACAAGCTATTAAATGCCAGACCCTACTGATAGGGAAGAGGCCAGCTATGGAGAGCAGAGTCTTCCAGCTGATGCAAGAATACAGGTCAGCTCAGACTCCTTTTGCCACAGGGCTTCTACAGGCGAGAAGCTGACGTACTGGTAGCCAAGAGCTACTTCATGACGCAAAGTGCATTCAACAGCTGTCCAGGATTATGGGTAGGAAGGCTCCAGGAGATGCAGGCTCTGGAAACCTGGCAACAGGCTACGTGAGTAAACATGAAGGGGCATATCCTCATCTCCAAGAAGCTGCCCAGATATGCATGCGGTTTTCACAGCTCGGCACACCAGCAACACCCTGCTTTGATCACTGTAATCAGACCGCAGCAGCCCAAGGTCTGAACACCACTTTGTTCTGCTTGGGAGCTGCTCATTACTGCTCAGCTCCAAACAGCTATGGGTAACGAGTGGAGTAAGCACTCTCATCTCATCGACTCCCAACAGAAGTTAGCCGAGTGTCAGAAGGCAGGCTATGCACCACCCCCTCCCCCTGATGCTGAACAACTTGACCAGGGTCTAGAGCCAGTGCCCAGCTTAGTGCTAGATGCTAAGGTTCTCTCTCGCCCAAAGCCCGTCCTGCACGTACCGATCCCAGCGGTTTGCCACCCACCTGCGGTGGCGACGCAGAGTTTGCGTGGTCTTTTGGCGGACTAAGGGAAGAAGCATCTGCTGGAAGGCTGCTGCTGTTCTGGGGCTGACAGTGTTTCCTGAAAGACAGAAGTTAAGAGGGGTTCATATCCTGTGCACAAGATGCAAGCATGCCCCAGCAGCAGCAAGTTATACAAAGCAATCTGAGCCCAGAATAAGTTCCTGACCACTGGACCTCCAGTGGAGCTTCAGCACAAGTGTGGCTGCAGGCATGCAGGACACAGGGATGTGGCACTTTCTGCTTGGCTCACTACAGCTCTTTGTACCCAACTAAGCAAGCAGTGACAGTGCCTGTAGAAAGAAGACCTCCTCACCTGAGGCAAAGCTGTTCCACTCACCCCAAGCCAGGGAAAAAAAAAAAAAAGGTGGGGGCAGGGTGCCAAGAGAACATGGCCTCTCCACAGGGAAAAAAGGTCAAGATGCATAAAACCTACAATGCTAAATAGTGGCAAGGCGATCTCTTGCCTGCTTTCCCATGACTGTGCAAGTCATCAGGAGGAGAAGAAAAAGCTCCGTGTGATACCTGCAAGCATGTCAGGTAGGGACACTCGCTGCTTCATCATCTGAGGTCAGTCTGGATTCCATGATAGAAAGAGGACTTATTTGTGCTATTCTCTTAACTGTACATTTCTGCCTGGCTTCCCCGGTGGCCAGACACAAGTAATATCACAAGCAAGTGCTCCACCTTACACAACAGAAATCAGTCTGTGAACAAGTTACCTAAAAAAAAATTCAACACCTACAGAGTATTCAAGCTTGTGCTTAGAGGCCAAATCATCATCTGAAGAATTAGTTTCAGTTCAAATAGGTTATCAATGGTCCTTCACACTTCTAAGGTGAAGTCCACCTTAAAGAAGCTATTCAGTAAAGCAGACACTCAGCAGGTCTCTGCTTTGAAGGTGGTGGGAGGAGGTAGGAAATATATCATCTCCATCCAATTAGACTGCCTCCATGAGCTTTCCTGCATACTGCTTAACACCGTGCAGACTTATGACTCAGTACTAGCCTCCACCTCCCAGACAATCCCTCCCTGCAACAAAAATGTCTTTACCAAAACCAAACCCAACACCTGCAGCTCGAGCACTGAGCTTTCGTTAACCTTGTCCACATGTCTCCAGGCTCTCTGGTTTCCATGAAGCTCTTCAGCTCCTGCAGTAAGTTTCAGGGAACATTAACTTTGCCCTACTTTCCCTGTATGATCCAGAGAACCCATGTCTTAGTCACTCAGGAAATAAACTTGACTGTTGAGTCAAGCTTCACTGTACAGAAATTAACCCTGAAGAGGCTTTTTAAAACATGGTTTTCATGTACAGGTTCTGCAGCCCTCTCTCTCATGGGTACTAAGGTCTGATGCAGAAGCAAGAGCTCAACTCGATCGCAGCACAGTTAAATTATCTCTCTCCTTTCCTTAATGTTTACAAATTGGGAGGACTATTACAGATGCAGCTGTTAAAACTCCAGAGAAACTTGTTTCTTTACCTAACTTGAACCTCTGACCACACTTAAGCAACACTTTAGATATGGACGCTCACTAAACTCACATTTGCTTCATTTTAAAGAGACTTTAATTTTAAAAAGCAGTAATTTCAACCCAAACACAACCACATCTCAGATGTGAATGGATCATCTCAGTCACGTGACAGTTCCTTGTACAACTATGAAGGAAGTCCAGGACACTGTGGCTTGCTGCAAACTGTGCAACTTTCTCTGGAAGTCAGCTTCTCACTGAGCAGCTCAATACATTTGATATCGCTGTGTAAGCAAGTTAAGAGAAGCACTCCGACCCCGGGCTTCTCCAAAGTTTACCAAGGGGCAGAGCCGCAACAGAGTCCCTGTCAACACTCAGAAAAGAATTGACTATAATGTGGAAGGAAGGCTGGAAAAAGTGAATCAACCCAGCAACTATAACCTTAAAGAAATTCTTGATCCATCCAGAGTGGAGACCGAGTATGAAAACCAGAGAGTTGGACTGCTGCAAAAGGACATTAACAACTGGGATCAAGCAGCCCCAGAGGCAACCATGGCACACTCTGTAAAGCCTTACATCTGGTGCCTGTGCCCTTTGTGAGTGTTTTTCTACCGGCTTCAACCCTACATGTTTTTTCCATTTTGTAGCCTCATTACCTGCATTGGCTGTGCAGGTCTTTGTTTGTACAGTTGAATACATCCTTTCCAGGGTTTATTTTTAGATCTCTGCATAACTGAATGCCACAGTTTGAGAAAAGGCAGTAAACACTGCTTTGAGACTAGGAAGAATCAACTTTTTTGAAAGCAAACTGTGTGGATAGTTGTAATTTTCCATTCAATTACAATTCAGCATCAGGGATGTTTAAATGAGTTACAACATACCCATTTGAGTTTTCCTAAGTATGCCAAAGAACATTTAGTGTTAGACTTTGTTAAACCAAAGTCTCATCTTCAAGCCAATTGTGCTTTCAAATCATGGAAACTGTTCCAACAAGAAGAGTTCTATTTTATGCTAGACACATTCGCAATACAATAAGCCTCCAAAGAAGTCAAAGCCAACCTGGGTAACAAAAACAATAATTAAATACATGGAGAAGCCAGAAGGGGGGTACGCAAGCACTAGGGCAGGGCAGGATCACAGGCCAGAGGTGGAAGAAGGATGTCTTTTTAACTCCTACCTGCTAGCACCTCCAAGCTTTACCTAGGCAAAAACTCAAAGGCTCACAAAAGCAGATGGGAAACAAAAGAGGTAGCAAGGATGGCTTCTAAAGGCTGCTATCAGATAGGGACATGCCTACAGGTTGGAGACATCTATCCAAACTGACTCCTGGCAACAGAGACTAGACAGATGGACAGAAAGGCCACTGCTGTGAGGTGTGGGGTACTCTGTGAAGGGCTGCACTGCCTTGCTAGCTATAATCTTCACCCACACAGTTCATATCATGACCGAACCTCAGCCCTTTTAGCCTGAGGGCGATTCCGACACCTGTGTGACCTATAGCACAGCAACACACAAGGGATGCTGTTAACAGCACTAAATCTATCAAAATGATGCTTGAGAAATCAGTGTTGAGACCACTGAAGCATCTGAACATAGACAAGGCCCAGGAAGAGAAAAACCAGGAGCTGCCCACTAGCGAGAGAGGAACAGCTATCTGCAGAGTGGAAAACCGGCCATTGAGCAGCATGTTGAGAACGCGGCTGCTGAGCCGATGTGGGGAAACAAGGGTGGAAACTACAGGCACATTGTGCAAGATCCAGTGGCCTACATCATCAGCCTGTGCAGCTGACTCCATCAGGGCTACACAGACCAGTACCAGCTGCACTGGTTCAGCACGTACATGACAAACAACTCAGGGACGCAGGCAGCAGGAAACAGCAGAGAGCGTGGGGGAATTTACCGAACAAGTATCCTCTTCAGTAACTGTTGATCTCCTTCGGAGTAGCCAGGCCAGTCCTTCTGCACCTCTCTGTACATGCAGTCTTTCAATGTAAAAGTGCTGTCCTTGGCACTCAGATTTGCCACCTAAAATGGAAAAGTAATTTGCAGGACACATTAAGATTTGGTTCTCACAGTTTACAAGAAATCCAAGAAAGACTTAACAAAAACTGCAGCTGATGTAGCACAAGGCAGAGTAACCAGCGCCAGCAAGCACCATGTTGAATACCGGCTTCCACAGTCTTCACCAAAACGTGCCTTCCCTTTTTTACATGGGTGGCAGGACAGTAGTGGAATATTCACTTACAAAGCACACATCAAATTATGGATATACAGGTGCAACACTGGGGTCCAAGTTGAACAGTCATTTGTCATTTTTAATGTCTAATCATTGACACTAAATGCTCAGAGAAGCACTGGGAAGCAACCTTCCCTCCAGGAATGGGCAGACAATTTATCAAACTGCCCAACACCCAAGATGACGCAGCTGATACCAAAGCTGTGAGGGTCTAAGTAGTTAAGTGCCGCCACAAGACAGACAGTACCTGGCTGGCAGAGAAACAGAGTTAAAACTAAAGATGCAATATTCCTGCAGGGCAGTGAAGAGAATGCTTTCCTAGTACTCTGTGAGAACCCCAATACGTCTGCATGGGGCACGGTTAAACACAGCAGAACAACCTGCTTGCTCCCATCAGAGAAGAAAGAAACCAGTTCATATCCAATCAGAAAGATGGTAAAACAGAGCCTTGTACTCCTAAGCTCTACAAAGCGACCCCTCATCTCACCAAATGCAGCACATGGGCCTAGGAGGCTTTTTATCCATTTTGTCAAATCCTTCCACATAGATTTCTTTCATTCAGAGGCAGTATTTGGGGCCTGACATGAGACCCTGCTGGGACAAGAAACAAGCCAGGATGGGGACAACTTAGAGCTGCCCATCAGCTTGGTCTTTCAATAATTTTAGACTGAAAATCGGGCTGAGAGTTGCAGTTGACAGCTCATCTGGAGGAAGGAAGGTTAATACAAAATTAGTAACTCCTCCGTGTTGGGGGAACAAGCCTTTGGAACGGAGCAGCAGCAGTTTGCAAAGCACCTGCACAGCATCACAGCCTCTTCATGTGCATCACACGCGTTTGCAGAAAGGGAAACGGAGGTGCCAACACAAAGTGACTTGCCCGAGGTCACACTGGAAGCTGGCAGCGCTGGGACTGGAATATCAAATCTCACAAGCTCAGACCCTACTCTGTCGTCAACTGCACTTGAAATTGGAAGCAGCTCTCTCGTTTAGTCAGTGGACACACTATTTGTCTGGCTGCAGCTTCACTGCTTACCCAGGGCTGCAATGGCTGTGTTTTAGGTGGTGTTTGTGCAATGTAAGACTCCCTGACAACAATGTTTGGAAGTGTGCTACTATATCATCCATGCACACTAAGTAAGGCATCCTCATAAAAACAAAGTAAAGGAGGAGCAGGAAATATACTATCTATCTAACAGGAAACACCATGTCACAATCTCATGTGTATTTGCTTCATCACAGCTGAATGTGGCCTAATGTTTTAAGCCACCGTTAATTTACAAGAAAAAGGGTTCCAGGCAGCTAAATGCTGCGAAGCATTCCAGATACGAGAGATAAAAGCACGCAGTTATCAGCTTACATGACCAACACTTTGTTTTTCCTTTCGGTTCTGTCACCGTTCCAAAACCCTAAGCCAGCCAAGATGAACTTGAGTTCTGTTGTACATTTAAGCTACCCAGTAAACATACCCAATATGAAAAATAAACCAAAGAATTTCAGCTTAAGAAAAAGCCTTCCTGATTAGGAACCAAGTTTTTTTTCTTTCCTAATGCATCTTCAATGTGCCAGACGCTGTAAAGAAGGGCTTACAATAGAGGCAAAACAGCTTCTCAGGACTGTCTGAACAACTTTGCACTCCAGCCAGACCTAGGTACGTAGCAACTGTGGGGGCCTGGGCACTCCCCAACCTCCAAAGTGGTGTCTTCTCAGAAAATGAGACTGTTAGTCCAAAAAGCAGAAGTCTGGTCTGGAAATATGGAGCACAAAGGAAGTGGCAGCTGGGCACACTTGGGCAAGGCAGGGAGCAGTTGCTATATGAGAAAAGACTAGAAAGGCTAGGATTCTGTAGTTTGGAAAAGAGGAGGCTGAAGGAGGATATGATGGAGGTCTGTAACACCATGAAGGGTGCAGACCAAGTGAACAGGGAACTGCTGCTCACAAAGTCCCAGAAGACTAGACCTCAGGGACACCCACTGAAATGAGTACAAGACAGGTTTAAAGCAAGAGAAAGTAGTTTTTCAATGCAATGCCTAGTTAACATGTGGAATTCACTGCCACACGAGGTGGCAAAGACAGAGAGCATTGCCAGGTTTAGCAAGGGACTAGCCACATTCACGGATGACAGATCTATATTTGGAGGCGTTTCCCCTGGCATCTCTAAACCGATGGTGGTGGGTGCCAGGGAAGGTCGTGAATAGGGGATAGACCACTCCACTGAGTGCTCTCTTTCACTGTCAGAGACAGGATACTGGGCTAGATGGACCATGGGCCTGACCCAATCTGGCTCTTCTTATGCAAGGCATTTCAACACAGCCAGTATTTGGTAGCTCATCAGTATTTGCAGGTGGTGCTGAGCAGGGACAGTTTTACAAGTAGTGTTTCCAAATAACCCAGCTACAGTATTCGCTCAGTCATGATGCTGATGGTGCTGTGACTAGAGAAGACAGCAATCTGGTAGAGGTTTGTGACTATTCATAACACAGGATTTCCATGCAGAGATTTTGCAGCAGTCAGAAATGCAGGGGTTCCTAGCACTGTTCTTAAAAAAAATTGAAAAAAAAAGGTCTAGTGGATTAATAACCAGGGCAGGGACTGTCACAGAGTGATTAACCAATTTAGCTAACAATTCGTGGTGTGTCCCCGGGCAAGCCACTTCCCCTCTTTGCCTCAACCTGGTAATGACAAGACATGAAGAGGTGTGCTGAAGGGTGGTGAACATATGAGGTGCTTTGAACAGGTAAATGCTATGCAAGTCCTAAACGCATTTCCTGCAACTCTCCAAACAGTGCATTCACGAAGTGAAAATGCCAGGAGTTACTGAACTGATGCAATAGGAAGACAGCTTTGACGTCCATCACACAGGAACAAGCTTAGCAAGAAGCTGCCCGATCTTCACGGCTCAATGCTTAAATACAATTCCTTTATGATGAAAGCATGACTCGAGAGCAGCCCAGGGACCCTGAGTGTGGAGGATAGTTTTCCCCACTTTTTATGGAAAATAGTGCATGTGCTTATTATATATGGTATATCTTTATGCATGTACAACAAGAAATAAAATGGAGACGGTTCAGTGGTTACAACTATTCAAACTCAAAGGCTCTTCAGTGTTTACCACAAAGCCATAAAAGCAAGATGTCACAGTTTGGGACTGAGTGTCTTAGTCACTGCAGTGCAGTTTGAAGTGTGCAAGCAACAGGAACTACTTGTAAATCTGGCCTTATCTGGTGGACTGAATTAGTACAGATTAGTTACAAACACTTAAAATTGAAAATGCTGAGGGACTTCTGCTGTGTGCCTAGCAAATAACAGTGACTTATGCCTTATCTAGTCAGTCAGCTCCTACTGGGCATACTCATTAAAGAAAATTAAGCTACAGCTTATCAGCTGGATAGACTAAGTATGTGCTAAGAGTAAAAGTCTGTCCACATAAATGACACCATATCTGTCTTTGCAAGTCAGGCAACTATCTAGGTAGGAGACAAACCTGTTGCAGGAAGCTGTCCAGCAAATCCTTGTCCTGCTGGGAAAGTCCATCCTTCTGCAATCTGAGAATAAGTTCAGGTTTCTTATAGGGCTTTAGTGCCAGTAAGTGCATAACCCTATCTCTGAAGGGTCTCTGAGAAATCGCACTATTGCCTCTCTTTATTGCACTGGCAAGGTTGATTGGTGTTGGACGCTTCCTTGAGGGAACAGCATCGGACGCTCCTGGTGCAGGTTTACGCACCTGAACCTTCTTGCCTAAAATAAGATGAAAACTCAGTGAACTGCAGGAGTCACCTTGGCAAACGCTGGACTTCACGACATGCATTTTGTACATAACAGCACAGAGCCCTGGCAGGCAGCAACAAAGGACAAACATACACCACCTAGGACAGATACTCTGCAAAGTGGAAGAAGATTCAAGTTAGCCTTGGAGAAAGTAACAGGGAATTTAAAACCCCAGCACCCCACGCTGCAAACCTGGCTATTCTTGGCTTTAAGCCGCAGACTATATCTGGATCCTCTGCGTTTATCACAATTTTACGCATCTCTAGTCAGCGTAGCCAAATGTTTCCCGTGACAAGGAATGTGGAGAGAGCTGCAGCAGTGGCGAGAGCAAACTGGTCAACGGGAGGCTCCCTGGCTGCTGATCTCAGCTAAACCGCTTCTCCCGCAGATGTTTCTGCTTTTAGAACAATAGAAACTTTATGGGTCTGGCTCCCCCCTCCTCCCACCCAACAAGTCTGAGGACAGGAATGGGGGCCAACACTAATACACTTGTCTATTCATCCACCAAAATGATCATTTTAATGTAAGAGTTGTTTCTATTTTTAAGTAGTAATGGTTTCATTCTCTTCATGTGTACGCGCACACATTGGAGAATGGCTAAAAGGTTTTAAAAGGGTCAGTTCAAGTCCCTAAAGACAGCTTTCTCAATTCCATTTTAGGAGTTTTGCTTTTATTTATTTCCTTTTACTTATATGCAAATAGATTATTTGTTCCAGCTACCACTTAAAGCCGGAACTTATCTTTTCACTGGAGGTCCCTTGGAAGTGATGTGGAAGCTATGCTGCAATCACTTGCCAGAAGAACAAGCATTTCTCCTGCTAAAAAAAAAAAAAGACTGTTCCTTTATCCAAATGAAGGGATAGCTTTCAATAAAGAGCCAGATTCCTGCACTAATCTGAATAGGCTTCCGCGATACAGAATATTCCAAAGAGTAATGCAGGTGGGGTAACCAGTACCACCAAACCTTCTTTTATTTCTCAGAACAGCAATAGATATTTCACATATCACCATTTTAGAAGCAGACACAGCCATCTCACTTAAAAAACCCTCACCTTAAATTATACTGGCACAAGCAAATTCCAGGCATTTGCTGCCAGAATTTCTGGAGCTCTCACTTCAGCTTAGCAGTACTCCGCTCTTTGGAAGCCGTATTTTCAACTGAGTCATCTAAAAAGACGCTGGTGCCTGTGTGCGATGTTTGTTTATTCTACCAAAATGCTGGTTGCATAATTTTAAGTCACCATTTCCTGGGATCCGATTACAAGTTTGATGCAAATAAGTGAGGTTTTTTGATTTGTGATGTTGAGAGACGTCATGAGAACAGGCTTGTGAGGTTTCAGACTTTCTTTGTTTTTTGTCCAAGTCAGGAGCACCAAAAAGCACCCACCATTTTTGTGGCATTTCATTTTATGGCTGGAACCAAGAGGTTTAGAGCTGCATACCCAGACTGCGAGTTAAATCAAAGCACCCAGAGGCTCAGAAAGGTACGTTCAAGAGTTAGGCTACCGTACCAAACTGCACTGGCTCATCACAAATTTTCATGCTTAATGCTGAATGCCTTTCACTTCCCAGCTATTATTGTTTGAGTGGATACCACACATTACTACAACTAAACATGTATGCAGAAGTGCCACCTCCATTTTTTAGCTAAGCATTAAGAAGCCTGTCTTCTCTCCAGCCAGTGAGTTGCATGCTGGTGGTTCCCGCAGGCCTGATGCACAGGGTATCTATAACCCTGAGCTGGGAAGCAAGACCACCAACCTGCTCTCCTCCTACTTGCACTCCCCTGTCTACCCCACACACACCTGACAGGCTGCCATCATCTCACTGTGCCACCCCTTGCATGGCTGCACCCTCATTTGAATCAAGGGGAAAAGGTTTTGGTAGGAACATTTGAGAATCAAAGCTTTATTCTCACTTGCTTTCTTGGAATCTGCTCTCTCACTGGCCCAACAACTTAAGCTACTTACTGCAATGCTTTCAAATACTAAAAGCTAAACAAAACGATTCTCTACTGTACAGGAAATCAATGCATTTCCTTCCTGATTATGATCTTGCATCTCAGCTTTGAGCGCCTGGCTCGTGAAACAATGAGTCGGGCAATTCTATGTTCTGCAACTCACCATTCTCTTCGCAGACATCCTGCGAGGAGCCGAGTCACTGGAGCACATGAACCATGAGAAAAGCCAGAGGCCCCATGGCAAGGCCTGTTTCTGCATCACCCCAGTTCTACCAGATTTTGACAATGGACACGTCTGCAAGGATATGAGGCCCTGGCAAGCAACTCCAAGCCTCGGCGTAGAGCCAAACATGGGCCCCGCATTGTTTTGTTCCCCAGTTAAGCTTCTGCCCTCAGTTTTCAGGACAGAATGGTTCCTTCACGGGCTACAGGAGGTATCAAGAGCTTGATCCCTTTGAATGAACCTGAACACATCCTCCCATGACATTTCATGGTTCTCCTATAAAGTGTTCCCAGGAGCTGGAAGAGCACTCATGGTTCATATTCATATGCTTGGGTTTGCTAGCCAGCAGCTTGCCAAGAAACACTGGTGAAGCAGTGCAGCAATTTGCTCCCAGGGTCACTGAACAACAGAAATAAGGCATGGGCTATAAAAATTCTCAGCAAGCAAACTGCACAGTCGTCTGCTGCCACATAGGAGCAACAGGACTCCCAGTATCTGGTGGGTAACGCTTCTACATTCAGCATCTTTGCCTCTGAAAAGTCACTCCCAGTAAACTAGTGTGAAGGTACCAGAGCTGCATACACCACCACCTGCTGCTGCTGAACAGGAAAGGACTTGAGGAGATACAGGCATTTGCTTTCACACCACTTGCAGCATCCAGCCAGGAACAGACAACACATCAACATCCCATCTGCAGGCAAAAACCAAGCGCGGCACTTTTAATCAAGGTGCTTCTTACCCACGTATCGCCCTCCAGGTTTAATGACTATTGCACTTCGGCTGCGAGTTTCCTCCTCAGCTTGTGCCATGCTCTCCTTTGCCTTCTGGTAGGAGTCATCAGTAGCGCACACAGTGATTTTATCCTGTATGCTTCCAAGACAGTCCAGCTGGATATTCCCACTGCTGCAAAAGAAGTGTGATACCAGATGCTATCAAGATTGAAAACAGACACACTTTTGTCGTCTTGTATGTGGTATCAAGTACCTGAAGCAGTTGTGCAGATACAAAGTCTTTTGTCCAGTAAATAAATTGATATATTCCATAGAACTACATTAACACCAGCAGATTCTCCGCACATGCAGAGAAGTTTGACAATGAGAGCTGTTGAGCGAGCATTTCCCTCAGCCAGTTGATAAAGAAATAATTGCACTCACATGGCTCCACTATCCACCTGAGCAGCTCAGAATACCTAACGAACAGCACGACTAATATTCCTGGAAGGTATTAACTCCATTTTCTGTGCTGAAAGTGAGGTTTAGAGAGGTTCAGTGACCTAAGCATGCTCTCTCAGAAAGGCTGCAGCAGATCTGGGAACAAGCCCAGCTTTCTGAGCACCATGTCCCAAGTGCCCTACCCATGAGACCATCCTTCTGCACTTGGCATTTCAGCAAAATATATTCAAGGGCAAACTTGCTTCTCTAGGAGCTAATGAGCAAAAGCTGAGTTACTGGTGTAGCCGAGGGGAGTGACAAAACAAAGTTCACTGCCACTATCTTGAAGGTTTTTAAGGCCCGGCTCAAAGCCCTGGTTGGGATGATGTAGTTGGGGCTGGTCCTGCTTTGAGCAGGGGGTTGGACTAGATGCAACTTCCTGAGGTCCCTTCAACCCTCATTTTTTATGATTCTCTTTATTTGCAAGTGCTTGAATTCTTTCCGGCTACTTTTTCCTATCACTTGGCAATACCAATAAAAGTCTCTCTCTCTAGCATTTTAATGCTACAAATCTGGTGGGAAGCAACAGGGAGGGAAGAGGATGCTGTATCCCAGATGCTTAGAGATACTTGGCTCTTGCAATCAACATAACAGTGATCTGTCAGTCAGACTTGCTATTTACTCATTGCTCGGTGCCTAGCCCCATTTCCAAGATGTCTGTCTGCAAAGGTTTTTTTCCAACTGTGCACCTGCCTGTCCTGAAGGCAGAGCCCTCCTTCATCTACGTTGCTCAGGGGGCAGGGGCATGTTATTACTCCTCTCAGACTTTTTAAACTGCTTTTAGTCTGGGTGTGCCCCCAAAAGGGGATGGGGTTGGCTCTGGTCAAGTGTTCTTGCAGAGAATTTCAACAGATGGGCCCCAGACATGAGACGTCTCAACAGCAGGCTGTCGCCCATAGCAGCCACCAGGATTTTTACAGCTGACTTCAGCAGAGCAGAGACAGGGCAGCCCTGCGAGGTCCTGTAAATTCCACCTGAAAGTTTCTGGTGAAACTATTTAAACCAAATTGTACGGCTGCCCATGCTTGCAGCAAAACTGTGAGAGTGATATGGCTTGAGGGTTCGCGCAGGGAGGATCACAGGCAGCGGCTTCTGAAACAAAGTTGGGGACAGCTATAAGGATTATTCAGTGGACATGTGTCAGCCTTTGGGACTACTGATTCATGTCAAGCGGGATCAGGAACAGCTGGCTTTGTCTAAAGCTCCTGCACTGCTGCTGCTGACTTGCTGTGATGGCAGCAAAACAGAAGAATTAACCTGACTAATGATCACCAGCACTGTAGCAGCCATGTTTTCTAAACCTTCCCCAAGGAAAGCTGGTCAGTGTGGTGGTTAAAACACAGCCAGCCAGCCTGTGCTAGCACCTCCACTGACGCTGCGGCTGGAACAGCAGTGACTGCAGAAAGCTTCAGGGAAAGGAGTCCATGGACACAGGCTGTAGAGCAACAAAAAAGCTTCCAGGATATGAAGTTGGGTATGACCTAAACATACAAACCATGACAGCCAGAGAAATGATGTTGGGTGGCAGAGAAGTTCTTCTGTGGATGTTTCCTCATATACCCGCTTGATTTCCCTAAGTAAAAGCCTCTTTGAAAAAGGCAAATATCATTTAGGGCATACTTACACTTCCCCTTAGTCCTCATAGGAGTAAAGACTTCATTTTAATGACAGGCTTGTGGGCAGGACAAGGTAAAAGGAGACAGCTCCTCCTCACCTGGGGTAGTACTCACCTGGATACATACTGCTGGATACAGTCAAAGCTCCCCTGGGGGCTGTCCTTGCCAATATTTGAAAGGTAAAACGTAAACGTTCGCACTTCTGTTGGGCAGTCAGGCCTGGGAATCGTGATGTGCTGTTTGGAAGAAAAGTACTAGTTAGCTGGATTGTGCACAGCCATACACTTCTTTCGTTAGCCACTCTGCAAGCCACTAAGCAAGAACAAACCCTGGGAATTGCTGCAGAGGAAGGCAGAATCATTCCAACCAAGAGGAGCATTTTGGCAGCATCTTCATGTCCTTAGCTGTTGCTTCTCTGAATTCCTTTTTCCAACTACCTATTTTTTTCAGCTCTGCAGTACTAGGAAAAGATTAAGTCTTGCCTTGATCACAAGAGGCTTAGGAACATTATTATATATATATGCCTGTTTGCTACACGTACAGTAGGGTTTAGTGCGAAGGACAAAAGCATATGGAAATTTGCTAGTAAATTAAATCTAAGGTAGCAGTTGGCTCTTTAAATTCTGGTTTACCATAGCAAGCAGCAATATAAACACGTTTAAGGAAGGTATTTCGAGAGGGACGCTTCCTGAAGATCCTACCCTGTCAGCACATCTGCACTAGAAAATGTTGCCAACACGGCTGCGTTGGTAAAAGCCCCAACGCAGCAGCAATTCTGAATCAATGTCACCGCATCAAATACTTCAATAGGGTACGCCAGATAGCATTTTGCTTGGTGTTAGCCCTTATGCCTGGCAGAATGGTGTCTGAACTAGAAGCAGGAGGGCCTGCAGATGCTGAGCAGAGTGGCACGTCTGAACCCCTGCCCCTCTCAGGAGGCTGCACCCTGGGCACTGCCATTCAGCTCGTCAGGTCCTGCTTTTTGGAGAGTGCATGAAAGGCATGGGCTCCCTGAACCTCGCTGCTGAAACTGGGCTTCTGAGCAGCCAAGAGTGCAAGACACACAGGGTGGGAAGGGAAACCAGGGGGACATGGCTCTGTTCCCAGTGACGAGGGGACAGTCCTGCTTCTAGGACCATTTGTGCACTTTATGTTAGACAGTTACTGGCTAAAAAGCAGAAGTAACCCCAAGAGCAAGAAATGGGAATGTCTGCCAAGCCCGAGCATGCAAAAAAGAGCCAGGACTTTTGCTTTCCTTCCTGTTCAGGGAGCTTTAGGCTGTGCTTTGGTTGTATTTGCACACTTTGCATCTGTGGAAGACTAGAGGCATTTAAAGGAAAAAAAGTCCCTTTATTTAGGAGCTGGGACTCGAGCAAAATTAAGTATACCTAAAAAGTGCCAAAAAAATTCAACTGCATGCCCAAGTGGCCTGGCCCTTGAGAGAGATCCTCACTTTAAACAACACTGCCCACTTCTCAGAGGACAGAGAAAACCAGGAAGACTGAACAAACACATGCAAAGCCACATGCCCACAGAAGTGAAAGACAGACAAAGGAAATGGGAGTGAAGAGAGACAACAGGTCAAAAAGAAAGCTGCACCTGTGCCAGAGCACGAGTACGAGGCAATGCCCACCTGCCCATCACGAGCAGAGGGGAGAGCAGTGCTGGTCAGCTGCCCACCCACACACGCTCCCTCCCGCTCAAAGCAGGCGTGCTAGTATCCCCTGTACGTTGAATTGAAAGCATTCAGGCCAGGGTTCTTTAAAAGTCGTGAGCCAGCACCAGACATGGTGCAATGCAAGTCACTGGGCATCATGACTGTTCTCTTTTAAGAGGTTATAATTCCCTAATGAGATTTCAGAGCTCACATTGGAGCGTGACCCTGCTGCTATATGAAATATTTAATCGCATATTAAGCATGCTTTGCAGACAGCTGTATGCACATCTCCAGTACCAGCCTCCTTCTGTTCATTTCCTCACTGGTAAGAGTCATAGGTTAGTCCCACTTTCCTAGCACATTCATTTTTAAATAAAAAAAACCTGCTGCTCGGCCCTTTCTTGTGGCTGTTCAGGACCCAACATGGAGTGGGCCTCTGGGCCCTCCTCCCAGGTATGAGTGCTGGATCAGAGAGGGAAGCCACAGAGGAATGAAAGGACTCTCCTTCCTTGGAGGTTTTGAAGACCTGGCTGGACAAAGCCTTGGCTGGGGTGATCTAGTTGGGGCTGGTCCTGCTTGGAGTAGGGGGGTGGACTAGATGTGACCTTCTGAGGTCCCTTCCAGCCCTCATTTCCTCTGATTCTTTGAATAAGTATGGCTGTCAAAGTGAGCTACTGTTCCAGCCCGTATCACCACACGCGCACACAACGCATACATTTTACATCTATCCTGTGCCCAACTGACAGCTATTTATGGCACATAGTGCTCTATTTTATAATGGCTTGAAGACTTTCCTGGTAGAAGACGCCAAAAGAAAGGAACTCTGAAGTGTTCCAACTGCCCAGGAACATAATTAGAAGTAAGGCACAATATGCACAAAGGTCAATTTTCAGAACAGGCAGGAAACGCTTTAGGAAGCAGGGTTTGACCACGTAAGTGCAGCATTCTCCATTCATTCCTCCCCAAGCATGGGTCAATGCGTCTGTCCCTCATTCCTAAAACTAGGTTTCCTCATTTCACAATAGCAGGTAAACTGGAAACTCGACTTCACACACACAAAACAGCTGAGCTACCAGGTCAGAGAGTTGGCAACTGGCTTCAAATGCACTAGTTCTCGTGTGGACGTGTTCCAACTATCAGTAGGAAGACACAGATCAACTCCTGCACCTCAGCATCTGTAGTAGGAGCCTTGGCCTTCTAGCTCATCTCCATTTGCCCATCTGTAAAACAGGTATAATTCTGACCTACTCTACAAATGAGCTGAGGATGTTTAAAGATGCAAACTGCAAACGAAGGGCTCAGGATTAGTCCTTTCTACAGTTTGTTTCCTCTTTCTATATGACTAACTCAATGCTAGGTGAATGGGTGAACAAGCATCTTCACAGAAAAGACTTATCAAATCACTCTGTCCAAGCAGAATTGCTCCTTATATAGCACATTTCCTAGTGTTTTGTCCAACATGCTAGTACCAGAACACAAATTAAACGACCTAATGCAATTTCTTACACTAGACTCCTGGAGTGCCGGGTTTGGGCACTTTTGTAGAATCTCGGTGACCGTTACAAAGCTGGCTTCCTCAAGGGACACACTGAGACAGAAGTGACAAAGTCTGCAATTAATAGTGATGTTAAGATCTGCCTCTTTCAGTACTGAAAAGCAACCTAGGCAAATCGACAGCATCTAGGAATTATTTTTAGATAAGGCAGAAGGCCTCTGACCACCCAGTGGTACAGGCTTCAATGCAGCCCCCTTGCTGGTGTCCCGTAAGTGCTATGCCACATAACCACTGATGCTCAAAAATAGCCCATTCACAGATGTGACTTTTGTTCTCTATTATAAGCAATCGTTCGAAACACACTACACAGATGAACGGGAGTTTCAGCTTCACGCACTTGTGCCAATGCAAGCCCATGCCAAGAAGTGGGGCAACAATGGCACGTTTCCAGTGAAACTTCTGCTCACGCTTTTGTCAGATATGACGCTTTGATGCAACTTAAGGAAACTTCAGGTTTTAAATAATCTGAACTAGTTTCTTAACCCTATTTCTCTACCCTGGCTGGTCTTCCTCATTAGCACCTGCAAATCTGACCCAGCCGTACGCCTTCCTGAAACAGAAAGGGCTTGAGCCATTCTGGTTCACTTCGGCCTGCATCACCTGCTCCATTTCAAAAGCTAAACTACTGAAATATTTAAATATTAACTGTCACCCCATGTATTACTATGGCCATGCTGACAAAGTCAGCCACAAGACAGTGACGTGACTCCTTGCTGGGAAAGTCGGTCACAAAATGGTGCTTGTTAGGCGGGGCACATCCCACAAACCAGGATCATGCATAGTTTGTGATGAAAAGAAATCAGGCCTCTCAAAGCTTTTGACTCCAAATGTAACCCTGAAGAGGGATCCTATGTGGAAGATCTCGCCTTCTGGGGTGTTAACCTAGCAGCAGTCACATTTTAGGGTAAAAAGTTGGACAGTCTCCTTTGCGTTACCCAGCCAGCGGAGAGCTGCAGACTATCATGTTTTGCTCTCAACCTGAACTCAGTTTCTGATGCCTGGTGATGTCTCCTAACATTAGGAATTTTAAATAAGCAATCATGAAGATGAAAGGTATTTTCAGGCAATTAATGAAGAGCTGGAAGATAGATAGCCAGATGTACCTTGGACCAAAACTAACATTACAGGTTAATGAAGGAGAATGTGTACACAACGCTTTTTTAAATGGGCAATGCAGATTCAGCTGTTATGGAGAGCATTTCTGAAGGGTTAACACCACGGGAAGAAAGCAGGCATTTTAAACCTGTTTTTCACCCTTCTCTTCCACCCCCAGATATTCCAAATAACCCAAAGATTTTTCCTTTTTGCAGGAGGGGTCCATGCAAGGAAAAAAAACACCACGCACGCCTTTTCAAACCATGCACTACTAGACACTTCTTTAACCGGGACTCTTTGAATACAATCCCAGATGCAGAACTTTCTGACCCTCCAAAGTGACATCAAATTCATTTCCATAGCAACGTGCATTGCCAGGTGACAAAAGGCAGCAAGCGAGGGGATTAAGGTAGAGAGGAAAAAACAAGCAAGTCCATTCCAAAAATAAACAGTGGCTCAACAAAAGGAGTCCAGCCTGATCATTTGGATTTGGGAGCTCCTGAAATGATTGAATTTAGCTCTTATCTGTTCCATTTACATTCGAGGACACTCACCAGAAAGTGTTTAAAGCCAAGCTGCTAATTCCTTAAAGCAAGGCTCTATCTTGACATATATACTACACTTAAAAGCAGATGGTTACACAGCTGCCAGCGTCTTGTCCTACTCCGTAAAAATAATAAAAAGGACAAAGAGCTCTTTCTATCTGCCCCAATTGAAACTGGTTTTCACTCCCTTCAAAGCTCTACCTTTGGCCTTTACTTGGCAGTGCAATTAATTAAACAGCTGACAACAAGGCAAGCAGAGGTCAGCTCTGTCCTGCCAACAGCCCCTCTTTCCACCCACAATGCCTCGGCACACTTCATACTGTGCAGGTCTCAATGTTTCACTCTTTAAATGGCAATGTCAGATATAATCACACTGCTTAACTC